AACAGCACTAAAATATAAACAGTTATTATAGGATTACTTCGGTGATGCTGTATAAGGCAAAAATAAAACAATTAATGATTTAATTGCATTTTATTTATTATTATTATTATTATTAATAAAAACTATTAAACTACACATCCACGTCCATAGTTACAATGATTTCTGTTTCACAAACCGTAAGTACACAAAGTTTTGTAGGTTTGAGACAGTGAGTCAGATGTTGATTCGTTAGCCACTCTAGCTGATTCATGTAGCTTATACAGGGAAGGGTTTGTCAGACTGATTCATCTCAATAAACTTGTGTGTTTGAACTGTTAAGTTTATAAGACACATTTGATTTGAATTGTAATACACTGGTCACCCCGTCTTATTTGCTTTTGTTTTCAGCTTGTTGATGTGTTTTCTTGTCATTTTGTGGCACATGAACTTTAAGTAAAATCTGAGTTCTTGGCACTGTAGATTGTCTGCTGTGATACAGGAAACATGAAACGGATGCATACAATTATATACTATATTATTAAGTATACATAATTACTTAAAAAATAAATTGTATGATTTACAATTTTATTTCATACAATTAAAAAAACGTCACGTTGCGCCATGTCTTTAAAATTCAAATACTTTATTTTCTATGAGTGTAGGCACACCGGCGGCGCCATTCGGCATCTGTCCGTGGCGCCCAGCTACGTCGTGTTATACTTCTGTCAGGACCACTATCGTCAAAGATGATTGACAATTAGCATACAGTTTGGATTGGCGGTATGGTTCCGTTCTGGGCAAGAACTCCCTGTGCATCCATGCAGCCTAGCATGGATGAGAGCAGGGAGAGTAGCGATAACCCCCCAGGGTAAACAGAACAGAACCAACATAAATGTATTGCAGATATCGTTAAGTTCAATAATGCTATGTACACATTTTAGACTTAGTCTGATTCAAGGAGAATCAGAAGGCTGAATCCTGACTGACAGAGGAGGAGTTGGGGATGGAGGAGGGTAATTAGCTATTGAGCAATGCGAAAACTGCTGATACTACTGCGGGACCATATATATGAATACTTAGGTGTTGTATTCCCATAGGTTGATGGGGATCAGCTGAGAGTCAGCTGATGCGAGCTTGACTAACGTGACCTGCCAGAACTGACCCTACGCTAGATTTGTAAGAATTGTTCTAGACATGCCAAAAATTTGACGCTACAGCACTGCAGCTCTTATTCTTGGTTTTCTCTGATGCACTAACTCTGCAGCAGCACTTCTTCTTCGTCGTCTCGTCTGATGCACTCACTCAACCAAGCGTTCTAACCACGACCTCGCCCCTCCCCACCCCCCAACCATTCGAATTTCTGTAGGCGGGAAGTATTTGTAATGATATTCCAATGAGCCACTTTGTGATATCACAAAGCCCGGAAAACAAATGCTGTAGTCCAAACGAGCCGTTCGTTGTAGTTCTTGAAAAGGGATTTTAAAAAAACGAAATATCTCCCTTTGGAGTGGACTTTGAGATTTGTAACTTTCTATATCTTTTTTTATGGCCAAACATCCACACTACACACTGACTAAAATTAAAAAGTGAAAAAGCATAATAGGACCCCTTTAATATAAGACAAAAATAAATACAAACAAAATGGAGCAGTCTGTTGCAACCCACAAGGTTTATTTAAACATTATCCAATAGTAAACTGTGGAGGACAAAATAAACATTAAATAAAAAAAAAAACATTTAAACTCCTAAAAGAGCTAATTGGAGTAGTTTGATGCAACTCATTAGGTTTAACATTGTCCAATGTTAGAGAGAGGACAAAATAAATAGAAACATTTAAACTCCTAAAAGAGCTAATTGGAGTAGTTTGATGCAACTCATTAGGTTTAACATTGTCCAATGTTAGAGAGAGGACAAAATAAATAGAAACATTTAAACTCCTAAAAGAGCTAATTGGAGTAGTTTGATGCAACTCATTAGGTTTAACATTGTCCAATGTTAGAGAGAGGACAAAATAAATAGAAACATTTAAACTCCAACATGGAGAAGTCTGATGTAACACGTAAGGTTTAATACAGTCCAATATAAGACTGAATAGTAAAAAAGAAATGGAAACATTTAAACTACTGAAAGAACAAAATAGTTCGGTCACGGTTATATCCACGGGCGCTGCGGATAATCCGCAGGTCAGGTAATAAAAAAATGCATTCTGATTATTTGCGGGTGGGTCACGGGTGGATAAAATAAATCATAAATGATGCAAATATTAAATAAATTTTTTTTTAAATACTTTTTTTTTTCATCAGGCAAACATTTCATTTGTGTGTGTGTGTGGGTTCGCCTGATTTGGAAGTTGCAGTGACAGAAACGGTGACATTCCAGATAAAGCTTGAAAGGAGTAAAGCCTGTGTTAATGCTATTGAGTAGGCTATGACAACTCACAAAAGAGTATTTTAGCCAAGCAGTTTTAGCCACTTCAGACACGGTATAAATACAAGCACTGACTAGAGCACCCACGATCAGCTCTGGTGGCCGTAGAGCCGTTACGCGCCGCAGACGTGTGCAGTGAGGCGCAGATCAGCTCTAACATCACTAAATCTGCTGTTAAAAATTAACCATCCATTCATTATATCATCATGCCAAACATACACGACAAATTAATTTTTCATTGTTTCTCGAAACGTCATAGCATTGCCACACCGGCGATGACATGACTGCAGCGCCAAATCATTTATGTCCCCACACATCATGTATGTCGTCACACGTTGGCGTTATCAAATTGCGATCGGTTCATGAGATCGGCCAAGTTAGTGAGTACCGATCGAGTCATAAAATGTGATTATCGGCCGATACCGATCTCCGGCCGATCGATCGGAGCATCCCTAGTGTAAACACCTCTGCTCTGTGGTGCTTTCAACATTGTTTGGCTTGTTTGCATGGCCCAATGAGGTCTGCAATATCTGGAGAGAGCTATCAGTTAGCTTTCCCACTCATCACTTGACAAATCTGTCCCAAAGACTAATGCAGATGGGTGTTTGAAAGCGGACATTATACCATGTAGTTTATAGGCAAGGCATATTTTAAGAGCGAATTTAGGTGTTAATGTGGTTTCAAAGCCATAAACACAGACACGGAAACCATTGACATCAGCATTGTAAGGTCAGCCGCTGACTCACAGCTGGATAAACACTCATCTTACTAGAATTTCTCTCTCCAGTTCAGTTTCTATCAGCCCCTTTTCTTTTTCTGTTCATCCATTCACTTCGGATCTTGTCGTCTTTGTTCCTGTCAGTCTTTTGTCTGTGGCTTTTGTTTTTCTTTCTGTTGTCTTTCCCTCTCTTGTTTTATTCAGCATTTCTTGAAAACTGCCCTCAAGTCTGTTTTCGTTAAAAGCACATCAGACGGTGATGGACGTAGACAGATTTGCTAAACTCTTGAGAGGAACCGCTCGAAGCTGCAACTTTTAAACCTGCTGTCAGGAGCTTGAGGTAAAATCTAAATGTTGCAGGCGATGGATGTGGTCCTAGTTGGTTGTCTTTTTCACCTTAATGCAAGTTTGCTGCTTGGCTAAGTGCTGCTAATATAAGCTGACCAGTGGGAGACTGGTTTAAGAGCTTTGACTATCACATCACTTGTTGAGTTATGTCAGAGTGTCGTGTCTGGGAGGCCAACCTGTAAGTCATGTGTCGAAGCAGCACATCAGCACTCAGCTAGGGGATGCTCTGTATGCTGGCTTGGACTGGGACAAACAGATAAATCCTTGTCTGCACCCAAGTGTTATTTTAGCGTGCAGGATGAGATCTGAGTCAGATTGTAAAGGAAATTTCATAGCTACAGTGTTAAGACGTCACTGTTTGTGTTTTGTGGAGCGAGTCTATGCTCACTTGATGCGTTCACACATACTGAGATTTTTATTGCTGTGGGTCACTAAATGGCTCTAAGGGATAGTTCACACCAAAATACTGTCATCATTTATTCACCCTCATGTTGTTCCAAATCTGAATGGCTTTCTTTATTCTCTGGAACATAAAATGAGGAGGACCAGTTTTGCTTGGTTCCTAGTGTTCTTCAAAATATGGAGAAGAAACAAAGTCATACAGGTTTAGAACAACTTGAGGGTGAGGATATTATGACAAAATTGATATTTCTGGGTGAACTGTCCCTATGTGGGTTCCCATGGTCATGGAAAAGCTTGAAATATAAGCAATGTTTTGATATTGAAATTAATGCAGTCTTAAAAATCAGGGATATATGAATACATAAATTTTTATAGTTATGCTAGTATTATTCTTGTGCTGGGTAAAACATGCATAAAATCCACAGTAGTGTCTGATTTGTGAGTCTCCATCTTGTCAATTGGTTCTTTTAAATAATTGGATGAAATGGTTCAGAAATGTATTTTAATGCTTTATTAGCAGTTTAGTATCAGTAATAAAGAACGACTGGGAAGGTCATTTGTCTATTGCTGATGTTCCTGCTGCTTGATGCTGTAATGTTATTTGTGTGATACCATTGCTTTTGAAAATCAAATGAGATTAAAAAAAATTAGATAAAAAAATAAGATGTCATTCTAATCCGACAAGCAATTAGTTTTCTTGCTAAAAATTTTTTTTCCATTTATAAATATATGTAATATATGGATTTATTATATCTTTGCAGCATTTTATTATATCCCTATATGTAAGCAGAGACAGATTGCATAGTGATGTAATCATAAATCAATAGGGAGATCAGACACTAGAACATTAACTTCTCATCCATCTTGTCTCTGCTAGACTACAGTATTTCAGAGATGATATGTGCTCCAGTGTATTCACTCCTTTTAGACATTGATGCATCAATTGACACTGTCCATTTGCATGAAGTAAAACTTTCTATGATCCACTGAAAATCAGCAACTCTCATTGAAAATTAATGACTTGTGGTCACTTTGCTGCTGCAAATGAAAAATGCTTGAACTTTAGATTGGATTGAGTGCAAGGAGATAACATTGTTAACATATTTATTTCTGTTTATTTTTCCAGATACTCAGTGTTGTGAAGATTCACACTTGTTTACAACAGGACGAGACTCTTGCCGTCAATCTGCACACTGTTGCTTCTGTTTAAGGGTGTAGCACAGAGTGCTGCAGTGAAGATCACCACACCTCCCACAACCCAGAATACTGAGTATAGCGGTGTGAAATTCCACAACCAAATCCCAGAGAGCAGTTAACAAGGCCGAGAGACGGCATTTGCTTTTTCTGTCTGATGCAAGATGACAACAAGAAGCCAACACCCTTGTAACGTTTTCCCAGAACTAATATTTTTTTAAAACTATTTTCTAATCTCTTCTTACATCTTTTGAATACAATGCTAATGCATTTCCCCTCAACTTTGGAAAGATGAACTTGGGATTTTTGAGCGGAGGGACGATTTAGAATTCAAGCGATATTGATTTCTTCCACCATGTCATGGAAAAGAAACTACTTTGCATCTGGCAGCAGTGGCTTACCGGGTATATTCACCCCACGAACCATGACATCAATCGCCCCCAGCAAAGGACTCATCAATGAGCCGGGACAGAACAGCTGCTTCCTGAACAGCGCTCTCCAGGTAGGACTATATATGTTCATGCTATAAACACATTTTACATGTTACCGTTTATACTTCAGAAATCTGATTAGTGTCTTTCTGAAATGTACAAACGGTGTCTTAGTGTAACAGAAGACTATTGACACAAATTATTAGCCTTTATTTGGTGCTTTTAGGGATGTATTTCAGTGTGGACGCCATAAAACTTAGAACACTTTGAGGACACCCCACATGTGCTTGCTGATATGTTTTCATCAACCGTTAGGCTCTACTTGTAGTCTGTGAGGATAAATATTGTGCAAACTCTGTCATTAATTAATGACTCATGCAACGCATGACCTCAACAGATGCTTGCTCTCGTGGGCAGAAATTGCGCCTACCTCCTCTTGTGATTAGCCATTTGAAGCAACAAGTCAAGCGGCTAGATGCATATGGCAGCAGTAGGAACAGTGCGCTGACTCTTCACTCGTTGCTCTCCTCACGCATGAGTGCTATTAGACAAAAAACGCTGTGTCTTTTTCCATTGTGCTGCTTGGTGGAGCCTGCATTAGATTTAGTGATGATTCAAGCACTGTCTGCACTAGACCCCACAAACAACTGTCAGACGCACACTGTCCTGGCCGGTAATTACCCTGCAGAGCAACCTGCCATTACTTACCCTCTATTTTTGGATTACTGTATAATCAGCTGTATGGAAATAAAGGGGCTTAGCTGGCTGATAATATGTCTAAAGCTACAAATTAGAGTCAGTTATGACTGGTTCGAGGGGTTGGGTGTTTGAGGGAGCGTCACGGCTGGATTGTCTGTTGCCATGAAGCATAACAATATGGCAAGACAATGAACTCAAAGCCTGGGGGTGAAAACGGTAAAAAAATGTTTTGTCTGCTGAACAAATTGTGGTGCTTTAATAACTTTCTTGAATACTTTTCTGAGGAATTGTAAGTAGTTTATTTTTATTTTGTTTTTTTAGGACTTGTTGGATTTTAAGAACTTGTCTGTAAAAATGTTACTCACATTAAAGCATGAGTTAATTTAGCTGTGATGTCTTCACAAATTATAATATACAGTGGTGTGAAATAGGCATGTCGCAATAATCAATATATCGACTTGTCGCGCAATATATGTACATGACCTCAATCATTTTTGGTGACACAATATATCGCCCATTATATTTACTTAACATTTAATGTCACCATGTTTTGTACATTCCATCTTTTGCAGCTTCCCGTACATAACGTGGTGTAGTCATGAGGTGCTAGTTCAAATTTTACTACAAACAAAGTTTAATCTGCAGATATGGCCTTGTTTAGGGATCTGTGCCTTTGTGCATATGGACATCTGACTGCTAAGTAGTGATTGTGTTTTTCAGCAATAGTGTGCACCTTTAATTTACAGAGAAAAGAAGGTAAGGGAAAAATCTGTAGATGGAAAAATCTCCATACAAGTTCTTTGTGCATTTTTCTACTTGTTACTTTGCACTTTTTGTTAGAAAATGTTTATTTACTATTAATTCAGGTTTTTTAAGTTATCTAATATTTTGATACTTAATTTCCATGATCTAAATATTCTTAAAAATGTAAAATTTGTTGTCATTTGGAAGTGTGTAGGCCTTCTTGCATTATTATGCTGTTACATTATGATTATATATTCAGTGTCATAAAATGGTCTTTAAAATGACAATAATATCGCTTATCGCAATATTTCTGGGGCAATATATCACACAACAAAAAGTTTTTATCGTGACAGGCCTAGTGTGAAAATTGTTTTGCCCCCTTCCTGTTTTTTAAAATTTTTTTTGCATATTTGTCACACTTGAATGATTCAGATCATCAAACTAATTTTAATGTTACACAGAGATAACCTGAGGAAATACAAAATGCAGTTTTGAAATAATGATTTCATTTATTAAGGGAAAAAAGCTGTCCAAACCTGCCTGGCACTACGTGAAAAAGTAATTGCCCCCTAAATCTAATAACTGGTTGTGCCACCCTTGGCAGCAACAACTGCTGCTCTTGGAGTAATTTTGTTAGGCTGGCTACTCCTGGGAAGGTTCACACCACTGTTCCAAGTTTTCTCCATTTATGGATAATAGCTCTGACTGTGGTTCGCTGGATTCCCAAAGCCTTAGAAATGGCTTTATAACTCTTTCCAGACTGATACATATCAACTGTTTTGATGCTCATCTGTTCTTGAATTTCTTTAGATTGTGGCATAATGTGTTGCTATTTAAGCATGCTTCACTTTGTCAGACAGGTTCTATTTAAGTGATTTCTTATTTCTTTGTTTAATATTAAAATTAGTTTAATGATCTGAATCTTTAAAAAAAAAAAATTTTTAAACAGGAAGGGGGCAAAAACTTTTTCACAGCACTGTAGGCCTATTTACATGTAAGGTGAATCAGTTGTCTAGTATTGTTCTCTGTCCCTTAGTTTTGATGTTCTGTTCACATGAAGTGAAAATAACTTTTTATTTTGGCATTACATGCCCTATAATAGAATAAGTTGTTCTTGTTTAAGCTTTCCCAGAAACCCCTTCCAAATTCAATAGTTCTGAACAGCCATTCAATAAAATTGATATTCAATCAATAAACTCCTGATTGAAGATCCAAGGATGCAGCATAAATGAGTTTGAAGGAAGGAGAGGGAGAGAGTTATGTCTAGACTGCCTGGGTTTTCAAAGCTGACATCTTCTGGTGTCCTGCTGATTCTGAGACAGAAGGTAAGAGTCAGGATGTGTAATCAGCAGCTTCCTGTTGAGTGCGGCTGCAGCTAAAGGAATTTTTGGTTTTAGGCTATTAATAAATCTTTATCCAACTTCAACTACTATCTTAATTTTCAGTAAAAGGCTCATGATTAGTTAAATCTGATTTGAAAAACTGGACTTTTGTTTGCAAGCTAAAGTGAGTTTAAACAAATTGTACAAAGTCTATGCGCACACAGGCTGCATTTATTTGATGAAAAGTACAACAGTAAGTATTAGGGCTGTCAATTTTTTTTTCTCGAATTTCGAATATTCATTGAATTTGAAATAAAAATCCACATTCTGGACTGGATAGGCTAACAAAATTCAAATGCAACAAATTCGAATGCAACGTTTTTGCATTCGAATTTGTTGCATTTTAATTTTGTTAGCCTATCCAGTTGAACCCACTAGATGTGGCGCTGCTACGTTGTTCATTCAAAATATTGCGGGGATAAAAGAACATCAATGCGGAGATGATGTTGTTTATGTCAAAACCGAAACCAAACCGTTCACACAGAACGCATGATTATCACATTTTCATGTAAGTTCAACTTTTTAAAAACATATCTCAAGACTTTATAGCGGGTTTTCCCCATCCTACTGCATCTCAAGTTTTTAAATGCAGAAAGTGGTTGGTTTTTCGGTCCTTTGTATTAAACTAAACATACATGCATGATTCTGTTTTGTTTCTAATTGTTTAAGCAACTTTAGTTATATAAGGTTTATAAACATTATTTTAAACATTATGCACTTTTTTCAAAGA